CATCAGGTATTCCTGATCACACTTCATGCTCTGCCAATTGTGCCTTACATGATTTTACCTGGATATTAGACACAGGGGCGTCTGATCATATGATTTGTGACATATCTCTGTTCTCTTCTAATGTGCATACTACATCTATACCTGTTAATTTACCAAATGGAGAAGTCACATATGCATCACATATAGGTGATATTAAACTATCCTCTACTGTTATTTTAAAACAAGCACTATTTGTCCCAAACTTCAAATTTAATCTCATCTCCATTTCTAAATTAGCTCTCACAAATCATTGCAGTATCAAATTTTTTGCATCTTATTGCATCATGCAGGACCTGACCTCACTCAAAATGACTGGTTTTGCTAAAGTCAAGTCTGGACTTTATCATTTTGTTCCATCTGCACCATTACCTGATATACCTGTTTCTCTTTCTCATACTTACACTGATGTATCCCATATCAATAACATAACTGTATCTGATGCAACCACATGCAAAAACCTTGTATCCCCTGTTATATGGCATTCTAGACTTGGTCATCTATCATACAACAGAATGGTTGAACTTGATATTTCTTTTCCTCAATCCATGAAAAATACTGCTCCCTGTGATGTTTGCCATTTCTCTAAACAGAAAAGGCTCCCTTTTCAACTTAGTAATTCAGTTGCGTCATCCCCATTTGAATTGTTACATTGTGATGTCTGGGGTCCCTTTTCTGTTCCTTCATATGCTGGTCACAAGTATTTCTTAACAATAGTTGATGATTTTAGTAGGACAACATGGGTTTTTCCTCTCATTCAAAAGTCAGACACACACTCTTGCTTAAAACATTTTCACAAAATGGTCAAAACTCAATTTGATAAAAATATCAAAGTTTTAAGGTCTGACAATGGGACAGAATTTATAATGCATGATTTTTTTCAAGAAACTGGCATTTTACATCAAAAGAGTTGTGTAGAGACCCCGCAGCAAAATGCTAGGGTTGAAAGAAAACATCAACACATCCTGCAAGTAGCTAGAGCTTTTCTGTTCCATGCTCATTTACCATTGTCTTTTTGGATGGATTGCATTCTGGCTGCTGTGCATGTCATCAATAGAGTTCCCACCAAAGTTCTGCATAATAAATCACCCTATCATGTCCTTCATGGCACTCCTGCATCCATTTCTCATCTCAGAACAATAGGGTGTCTTTGCTATGCATCCACTTTACACTCTCATAGACACAAATTTGCATCTAGAGCATCCAAATGCATATTTCTTGGATATCCATTGGGTTATAAAGGTTACAAACTTTATGACTTAGATACCAAGAAAACAGTGATTTCTAGAAATGTTACTTTCTATGAGACTGTGTTTCCCTTTCAATCATCATCATCTGACATCAATCATGTCCCTCTTTTTCGTGACACACCTCAATTTCCTCATGAACCACTTTACAATACTTTATCTACTCATCCAGTTCAACAGTGTACTCAACCTGTTATACAGTTTACACAACCTCCTCAACCTACTCCACAACCTGCTCAAATTATCACCCCCACCTACTCCAACTGTCCCTCCAACTCAGACATCTCCTATTCAAAATGCTATTCCTTCTTCACCTCCACTCAGAAGATCCACAAGATCCAAAACAACACCTGCTTATCTTAATGCTTACAAACACCAGATAAAGCACTCCTCTAATCTCACTCTCTCAACACAGTCTCCCAACATTTCTAGAACATCAAATTTATATCCTATTGAACATTATCTCAGCACTGCCAACCTTTCTCATGATCATGCATGCTTTACAACTTCAATTACTACAAACACAGAACCAAAAACCTATAAACAGGCATCTAGTAATCCTCTTTGGCAGGAAGCTATGCATAAAGAAATTTCTGCATTAGAAAAGACCAACACTTGGTTTTTAACTGATCTTCCTCCTGATAAACACCCAATAGGCTGCAAATGGGTTTTTAAAATAAAATACAAAGCTGATGGCTCAATAGAGAGATACAAGGCTAGATTAGTAGCCAAGGGTTATACTCAGGAGGAAGGCATAGATTATTTTGATACATTTAGCCCTGTTGCCAAAATCACAACTGTAAGGCTTCTCATTGCATTAGCATCCATTCATAATTGGCATTTACATCAATTAGATGTCAATAATGCATTTCTTCATGGGGATTTAGATGAAGAAGTATACATGCTCCCACCCCCTGGCTATTGTGATCCTTCTGACAAAAGAGTGTGCAGGTTAACTAAAAGCCTTTATGGCTTGAAACAAGCCTCAAGGCAATGGTTTCACAAGCTCACTCAATGTTTGCTTACTTATGGTTTTTCTCAGTCAGTCTCTGATTGCTCTCTTTTTATCAAAAGTTCTTCATCTTCTTTTCTTGCTCTTCTAGTATATGTTGATGATATAATTCTTGTTGGCAATAATCTTTCTGAAATTCATGCTATTAAGTCCCATTTGGACAACTGTTTTACAATAAAAGATTTGGGACAACTGAAATATATACTTGGTCTGGAAGTTGCTCACTCTTCTGCAGGGATCAATATTTGTCAAAGGAAGTATGCCCTTGACATTTTGAATGACTCTGGTTATATAGGCAGTAAACCTGCATCCACCCCTATGGCTGCTAATATCAAACTTACTGCTAATAATAAAGATGATCCTCCTGTAGATGCTACTGTTTATAGAAGATTAATAGGAAGATTACTTTACCTAACAATTACCAGACCTGATATATCTTTTAGTGTTCAAAGTCTTAGCCAGTTTATGGTCAATCCAACTGCACAGCACATGACTGCAGCTCACAGGATTCTCAGGTATTTAAAACAAACAGTGGGCCAAGGTATATTCTATCCTAGATCTTCTACTTTAACTCTTACTGGATATAGTGACTCTGATTGGGCTGGCTGCATTGATACAAGAAGAAGTGTTTCTGGTTTTGCCATTTTCTTAGGAAACTCTTTAATTTCTTGGAAATCTAAAAAGCAAGCCACAATTAGCAAATCTTCAGCTGAAGCTGAATATAGAGCATTGGCTTTTACTAGTTGTGAGGTTCAATGGCTGCTTTACCTTCTTAATGAATTACATATTACTCATAACTCTCCAGTTTGTATTTTTTCAGATAGTAAGGCTGCCATTTCCATTGCAACTAACCCTGTATTTCATGAGAGAACTAAACACATTGAGCTGGATTGCCACCTCATCAGAGAGAAGATCTCCAATGGCATCATATTAGTTTCTCACATACCATCTCAAGAACAGATTGCAGACATCTTAACCAAGCCTTTATGTTACCCTTTGTTTTCAGCCCTGACTTCCAAGATGAACATGAAAAATATTCATGTCCATCTTGAGGGGGGGTAATAGCATATGTACACCTTATTTTACACAATGTACACCATCTATAGTTTTTCCTACTTACTATAGGCATCAACTCTTTGTAATATTTGCATATGTAACCCAAGTATATAAGGGCTACATTGTACCTGTAAACTTCACTTTTCCTTTTATGCAAAACCCTAATTTCTCTTTCTCTCTCTAGCCGCTCTACTGTTTTCTCTCTGTGCATCAGATTATGAACATTATCACTAATCGTTGGGTCTGACTAATAGTGGTCGCCACTGGATGACAAATTAACATGATTTTTTCGTGAGTTCATTTATTATTGTCTTTTGGGTTGTCATTTTTTTCTCATTTGAGTATTATGACTTAATGTCTGAGGCAATATATATCTTTATTTTGCTTTTGTTCTATTAATGAGTTGATCAGTGTTCTTCTGATAACAGTTTGTGTTTTAGTTTTGTGAAAAGTGTATGCCATTTGGTAATATTCTGCTCCAAGAGTGTTGAGTAATTAAGAAAAAAAAAAAAACATGTGAATTCAAAGATTTATTTTAGGGTGTCTTCTTGTTGGAAAATATACATGAACAGTCTAAAAAATTTTACTTTTTTCGCATGTGTTTGCTTTTCAGGCTTCAATTCCTAAGCTTACTATCTTATTAGATAGATTTTACACAATGCTTCTGATCGATGGCCACAATGAATACAAAAGACCGATACATTGAGAGTTCGATGAATCAGTTTAGGTAGCTTCAAATGAAGTCTTCCCTCGATAGCTGAGCTTATTATAATTTTCGGTTCGCATATACTAGTTTTCTGCATTTTCTATAATTGGCAATATATGGACTGAGTTAGGTTTAGGTTTATAATTCTATGACTGATGGTTCTTTAGTTTGTATGGAGTATTCACGGTTTTTGCATATATTTTGTTGTGAGCCCTCGATTATAGCGTTGGTGCACTTAGAGGGTGATTGGATATGAATTCAACTAGTAAAAAACTAGTTTTTTAACTATAGTTAAATTTAAAAAAAAAAAAGTATTATGGTTAGTTGTTAGTTAATATATTAAAATAATATTAAAATTAAAATAATTAATATCGATTTAATGTAAAAGTAGGAGAAAATGATTGGAAGTGATGGTTAGTTAATATTATGTGAGTGGATGAATAGTGTATTAAAGTTGATGTGATGTGTAATAATGATTAGGTGATATTATTTAATTATATTGATGATACTGGAGATAGTGGAGTTGAGTTAAAGTTGAGCTAAATTTGATTTTTGAGTGGGATATTTACTGTAGAAAATGTGAACAATCACGCCCTTAAGCTATGTTTGATAAACCTAGCTGATAAGCTAACTTATAATTTTTTAAGTGAATCTCGAGCTTATAGCTGATAGCTTATGAATTATGGTTGAAAAACTTTATATGATAAAAGTGTTGGCAAATTTAATTGAAATAAATAAATAAAAATTTCAACGGACTTACTTGAAAAGTTACCCAATAAAGGAAACTTATGAGATAAGCTCGAGTTTTTTAACAAAACTCGTCCTACCAAATCAAGCTTATTTGGATACAGGAAACTTATAAGCTAACCAAATAAGCTATAAGTTAGCTTATATGCTTACCAAACACTGTCTTAACCTTGTTCTAGGCTTAAACAGTGAAAGTATGGGCAGAAAAGTCGGGACTTTGTTCATCAACCCTAAGAAATTCGGTAATCTCCAAAAACCTTGCGCGAGAGAAATGATCTCGTTCTTGAACTGTCTGGCTTTGAGTCAACAAGGCAATGACTCGAAATGCACTCGACAAAAATCCCTTTTGAGTACCTGCATGGATGCTCAGGTATGTTTAAAATGTTCTGCATGAGTGTTCCAGTAAATTGCTTCCAAAGCCCCCCTTTTTTTTACTAGTTAACAAACCCAATTTTTTTTTATTCTTTAATTATATAATCGGCAGTCTAGCGGTAAAAGAAAGCCTTGGGGTAGCATTAACTATCACCTGCAGAGGCTGAGCAGGGGAAGAAAGTAGACTCGTCTCGGGTTTTCATTATTGATATATGATAAACGAGCTCTGGTCATTTTTTTTTTTTTGTCGAAATTGATTGTCACGATACAGTTATGCACGTGTTTTTTTTATGTGATTTCAGTGTAATCCAGGGTCATGTATTTGAATCCATTGAACGGAAAGTTTTACTCGAGTTCTTGCTTGCTTTTCTATGTTTTTTTCTCCTTCTCTCAGAGAAAAAGATGTGTTCAAAAATAAAATACTTGTGGTTTGAAATGAGAAAAATATTGTCTTGTATCTAATTCATGTGCTTTGTATTGTTACTCATCTGAATAATCATCTACCCGATGTGACTACTAGAACTTGCTGGTTTACTTGGTTTTAATTCAAGCCCGAGATGGATGAGTCGACTCACTGGTTAGGCCGTTTTATTTGATAATTTGGATTTGTTGAATGTTCATATCTTTTTTTTTTTTTTT